AAGTACTCATTGTCAAGGATTGATGATTTAATAGATCAGTTACAGGGAGTATTAGTCTTTTCTAAGATTGATTTGAGATCTGGATACCATCAGATACTAGTTAAAGAAAAGGATGTACAGAAGACGGTGTTCAGGTCGAGATATGGTTAAAGAAAAGGATGTACAGATACTGGTCATGTCGTTTGGAGTAACGAATGCACTTGCAGTGTTCATGGACTACATGAACAGGATCTTTCGTGCTTATTTAGATAAGTTTGTTATTATTTTTATAGATGACATTCTTATTTATTCTAAGACTCGAGAAGAACACCAGGAACATCTGAGGGCAGTGTTGACTGTGTTAAGAGAGAAATAGTTGTATGTCAAGCTCTCAAAATGTGAGTTTTGGTTAGATCAGGTGCAGTTTTTGGGACATGTAATATCAGCAGAAGGGATATCTGTAGATCCTGCCAAGGTAGATGCAGTGTTAAAATGGGAACCCCCTAAGACAGTAATGGAAGTGCGTAGCTTTGTGAGACTTGTCGGATATTACCAGAAATTTATAGAGGGTTTCTCTAAAGTAGCAGTTTCTTTGACTCATTTGACCCGTAAGGATCAACCTTTTGCTTGGACAGATAGATGTGAGGAGAGTTTCCAAGAGTTGAAAAGAAGGTTGTCTAGTTCCCCAGTGTTGGTGATCCCATATGTGACTCAATCTTTTCAGGTATATTGTGATGCTTCTATTTATGGGTTAGGTTGTGTCTTGATGCAAGATAAGAAGGCGGTGACATATGCGTCGAGACAGCTGAGAATTCATGAGAGAAATTACCTCACTCATGACTTAGAACTAGCAGCAATGGTGTTTGCTCTAGAGATATAGAGGCATTACCTTTATGGAGTTAGATTTAAATTTTTCAGTGATCACAAGAGCCTGAAGTATTTATTCGATCAGAAGGAGCTAAATATGAGACAGAGAAGATGGATGGAGTTTCTGAAGGATTATGACTTTCAATTACTTTATCATCCAGGAAAGGCAAATGTGGTGGCTGATGCCTTGAGCAGGAAGACAGTTCAGATGTTAGCAATGATGATGGATGAATTGAGATTACTCAAGCAGTTCAGGGATCTGCACCTAGATGTAGAGTTTCGTGATACTAGCATTAGTTGTGGTAGAATTACCATCACTAATGATTTTCTCGGGATGATCAGAGATAGACAGTAGGGTGATATGACGTTGAAAGGTGATATGATGTTGAAAGCTGTTATGGATCAGTTAGGATCCGAGCAGACCATTGACTACAAGATGGGTGATGATAGTATTATGAGATTCAGAGGAAGGATTTGTATTCCTATTGACCAGGAATTGAAGAGAGCAATACTAGATGAAGGTCATTAGAATCATCTAAGTCTACACCCTGGTATGACTAAGATGTATCAAGATCTGAAGAAGGTTTATTGGTAGTCTGGTAAGAGGAGAGATGTTGTAGAGTATGTGGCTGCTTGTTTGACATGTCAGAAGGCAAAGGTGGAACACCAGAGGCCAAGAGTAATGCTACAGAAAATGGAGATACCTGAGTGGAAGTGGGATAGCATTATCATGGATTTTGTTACCCATTTACCACAGACAGTTCGGGGACACGATTCGATCTGGGTGATAGTGGACAAATTGACGAAGAGTGCACATTTTCTCCCCGTAAATCTGAGGATATCTATGGCTAAGCTGACACAACTATATATTCGTGAGATTTTCTTATTACATGGGGTGTCATTTAGCATTATCTCAAATAAGGATCCCAGATTTACTTCACGTTTCTGGCAGACTTTACAAGAGGCATTAGGTACCCGACTTAGGTTGAGTTCAACCTATCACCCCCAGAAAGATGGATAGTCGGAGAGGACCATCCAGTCACTAGAAGACTTGTTGAGGTCTTGTGTGTTGGATAATCTAGGAAGTTGGGATGATATCCTTCTATTAATAGAGTTCACATATTATAATAGCTATCATGCTGGTATCGATATGGCACCATATGAGGCTCTTTATGGGAGGATGTGTCAAACACCTTTATGTTGGTATCATGATGAGGAGAAAGTGTTAATCAGACCTGAGCTACTCCAGCAGACTATAGAGAAAATCTAGGAGATACAAGAGAAGCTGAGGGCCGCTATGAGTAAACAAAAATCATATGTGGACCAGAGGAGGAGACATTTGGAATTTGAGGGGGGAGACCATGTATTTTTGAGAATCAGACCTACTACTGGAGTATGAAGGGCAATTAAGTCTCAGAAGTTGACTCCCAAGTTTATTGGTCGATATCAGATTCTGAAGAAGGTAAGCCCAGTGGCATATTAGTTAGTGTTGCCACCTCATTTGGTAAATCTGCACCATGTATTTCATGTATCTCAGTTGAGAAAATATGTGCATGACCCCAGTCATGTGCTGGAGTCGGACAATGTGCAGATTAGAGACAATCTCTCTGTTGATGTGAGACCAGTGAGGATAGAGGATTCTCAGCTGAAACAACTTAGAGGTAGAACCATCTCAATGGTGAAGGTAATATGGGATCAGAAATCTGGAGACTTCACTTGAGAGATGGAGGATCGGATGCGAGAGTCTTATTCATATCTATTCCCTAGTAAGTTCATTTTCGAGGACGAAAATTTTTACGGAGGGGAAATTGTGACGTATTTATTATTATTATTATTATTATTATTATTATTATTATTATATATTATAATAATATTATATAGTGCAAAAACTTCATAGTGAAGTTTCCTTCGCACCACTAAATTTTTTTTATATATATGTGCGAAGGGAGGAGAGGAAGAGTTGCAGCAAGTGATTCTCCCTCCCATATCACGCGTTCTCTTCTTCTTCTTCTTTTGACTCAATTTCAAGCAACGAAACTCTACTCGTGCAGGATCTGGTAAAACGGGAGAGAACTTGGATTAAGTGGAAAAACTTTAGTAGTAATACCACTTGGATTAAGTGGAAAAACTTTAGTAGTAATACCACAACAAGTAAGGGAAGTTTAACTCATTCAATATATTAGATTGAATTGTTGGGTACTCTATGAATAAGGAATAGGAGTAGAAATCTGAATTATTTGAATGACTGATTTTGAAGATTTCTTCATGTTTTAAAAGTTTGAAATTTTATTGAAATTCTTGAAATTAAGGATGAATTATATGGTAAAATTGTTATTTTTGAGTTAAAATGGACATATCTCATGTTTAATTTGGATTTGGAATTAGTTTGGTTGCTTGAAACTGAAAAATTTGAAATCTGGAAAATTTGATATGGTTACTGGATGCAAGGTTGAAGAAAGGGGTAAGAGGAATTTTTGAAAAAAGATAAAGGGTAAAATAATCATTTCACATCTTAGGGACATAAATGTAATTTTGAAAAAAGATTAAGGGTATAATGGTAATTTAATAATGATTTCGGGACATGGAGGGAATAATATCAAATGTTCAAGGGTAAAATAGTCATTTTCATGACATGGAAGGAATTATGAGAAAAAATTAAGGGTAAAATAGTCATCCTACATATATACATGGAATTTTAAGAAAAGATTAAGGGCAAAATAGTAATTTAATAATTTTGGGATGCGAAAGGAATAATAGAAAATGTTTAAGGATATAATTGGAATTTTAGAAATAAAGTAAAGGTATATTAAAAAAATAATTAAAATATAGAATGGAATTAGAAATTCAAGCAGTGTGTTGTGACATGTGTGGGTCGATCGAGCTTGAGGACTGATGCCCGGAATCGGTCATGAAATGTTATGTATTGGCTAGACCGAGTTGGAGATTTGGTGCCCAGAATCGGTCAAGTACTATTATTTGTTGATCCGAATGAGCCGTGAGGATAGGTGGTCCGAATTAGGCAGATGTAAATGATTGTTATTGTGTGAATGATACCCGAGGTGGTAAGAGTACATTAGTGTACTAACTATGTCGAAGGATTCATATGAGGTCCCAGACTTCACTGATTGGTCGGATCAGATAGACTACGAGATCAGGTGGTGAGAAGACAATGGGGGATGGTTGGTGACGCGCTTGGAGGAGTACTCCAAGATGAGTGATGAAGGGCGTCAGTAATCTCACTCTGTGTGGAGAGTGGTCAAAATGGGGTAGACTTCCGGAAGGCGTCCTAGTGTATTGATGATTTGTAATTGATGATGATATGTAATTATTAATTCTATATATGTTTTATTATATTAAATGATTTAATACTTACCCCCTATTTTTTCATGTGCACTACAAGAAAATTACCAATTACCTGCTGATATTTACCTACGAATCCATATCCATAGATAAATTTTAAATTACCTTTGAATTTTATCTACGGATTTTTATCTGTATATAAAATTGTACGTTACAGTAGTCCGTAGGTATTATCCGTATGTAATGTTGGCGCATTTAGGCGGGAACATTTTCGAAGAATGAAATCCATAGGTAATGACGATAAAATCCGTATGTAATGAAGTTATACTTTACATACGGATTTTACATACGAATTTTATTAAAAAATAAAATTAGTAAGTAATTAGTGGGAGTACCCTCCCCGTTTGTCATTCTCATTTCTCCTTCGTAGCATCCTCTTCTAGTGAGCACGCTACTACTCGTTCGTCATTGTCATTCTCGTGAGTGCAATTACAACAGTTGATTCTTCTCATCAAGTGATTTCGTTGTTCTCGTTTAGTGGGCTTGAGGAAGTTATTATGGTTTTCATTCTTCTGGTGAGTTGATTCTTCTCGTCCATTCTTCTCGCATTGTGGTTTCGATTAGGGTTTTGATTCTTCTCGCATTGTGGTTTTCTATTAGGGTTTTCATTCTTCTCACATTGCGTTTCCCGTTCATTGGGTGTCATCAAGCTATTAGGGTTTTGATTGTTCTAGTGAGTTGATTCTTCCCGTTTATTGTTCTCGCATTGTGGTTTTTATTAGGGTTTTGATTTTTCTCTCATTGTGGTTTTGTATTAGGGTTTTCGTTCTTCTCGCATTGTGGTTCTCGTTTAGTGGGCGTCAGCAAGCTTCGAGGGTTTTCATTCTTCTCATCCACAGGTATGTTTTGCTGTAATGTTCATTTTTTGCTTTGGTCTTGGTTGAGATGAAAATAAATTTGTTCCTATTATGAGCAAAGAAATTGCTTATTGTATTTTGCGTGGGGTGTTCTTATCTTTTAACAATCAAAAGTGAAGTTTCTCAATACACATTGATGATATGAGGTAGTTAGCTCAGTACACATCATTCAGTTTGAATTTTGAGATCATTTTTAGATTCCTGATGTTAGCTGTAGAACAATTAAAGTGATTGAAATGTCTGATTAGAAAGTCATGCTTTAAGTGGATCTGAGTTCTCTAGATGTGGGAATAAGTGTCATTAGGAAAACACACACCGAGAAATACATATCAATGCATTAGGAAAACACACAGCCAGAAACCAGAAAAGAAAAAAAAACTTACCAGCTCTAACATAGTACCAGTTAGGGTCATAGGGAGTCAACTCCTTAAATCTTGCAGTTTTTGCTTTAGACAAGTGAACAACCTGCAATTCAGCCTACTTTTGTTCCCATAGCAACAATGAAAGCAATGAGGGGGAGATTGATGGCAATGTGAAACATGTCCCTATATTCCCAAGAGATGATTTTGATGATGATTCAAATCAACAACATTCAAGAATCAAGCAAGCCCAAGATATGATTTTGATAAAGAAGATGATTCAAGCAAGCCCAAGATGATTTCTGAATACTAGATAGAGTCTTAGAATACTGGATATGGAGGTACAAGTTGATGAATTGGTATTATGCATAAGCCTCCAAAGCACAAGTGTGATAAAATTTCTTAATATGATATTTTTCACTATCATAATCAATTATGATGCATCGAAATGGAAAATTGATTTTCTTTGTCATAATTAATTATACTGCTAACATAATCAATTATGAAATTCAAATTTGAAAAATATATTCATTTTGAAGAATAAATGTTTTTAGATACATCTTGATTTTCTTTATGATATTATTAATGACCAACTGCTATTTTCTCGATGCTATTTTTCTATTTAATTAAGTTTTGATGGAAAAAAAAATACACACAATTACAGAATTTGAAAATACAATTTACATTCAATCAGTTTTGAGAAAAGAATTCTGAGCAAGGCAACAGAGATATTTTACATGTTTTGAGAAAACCCTCTTCTCCATTGTCGCAGAGATACTTTTACCAAAATCTTCTTCTCCATTGCCTACTGTGTTTTCATTGTTAATCACACTTGTTTTTTGGAGGTTGACATTCTACAGGCTTCTACAATTTGTTGTCTTCATTACCCAGGTGTGATTGTTCTTATTTTATTACTTTCATCCTTTGTGGGTTTAAGAGGTTTAAGTTAATCAATTGTGTTATTCATCCTTTGATTTATTCAGAAGAGGTGTTTATCCTTTGTGTATTGGTGGCAAAGGAGGTATTTTTCATCCCTAGTGGGATTCTAGGGAGGTGTTCATCCTTAGTGGGATTCTAAGGAGGTGTGTTCATCCTTTGATTTGTTCAGAGGAGGTATTTATCCCTAGTGGGATTCTAGGGAGGTGTTCATCCTTAGTGGGTTTCTAAGGAGGTGATTATCTTTTGAAATAGTTTGCTTTTTGCTGAGTTGATTGTAATTTGTGAACTGAAATTAAAAGATAGTTAATTGGGGTCACTCTTGTGTTAAGAGTTGACTAGGAACTGGATGTAGGGTTGGCTATACCCGAACCAGTATAAATTACTATGTATTTTTCTTTTCCTTATACCTCTGTGATAACATCAACTTATTTCCTTCCCCTTATCTCTCTGATTATATCGCTTTCGCTATATCTTTTCAATTTGATAATTAAAATTGAATTAATAAATATTGGACATCTTAAAATAAATTTTTAATTTGGCATCTATTTTAATTTGTACATCTATTTACCCCCCTCTAAATGTCATTTGTCTAACAAACAATATTTTTTTCTGGTTATTTTGCTCTGTCTCTTCAAGTTACTATTGGAATTTATTAGGTTGGAGTCTTCTTAACTCAATATCTCTTCTCTGTTCTTTAACTGAAGAAACGATCATTACATTTTAAGCTTTTTATCTTTCTAGTGGACTAAATTCATTCATCTCAGTTATTATGGTATGCAATAGCATTTATTCTACCCCACCTACTATTTGGTGATCAAAACAAGTTCTTACCCAATTTGTATCTGGGCTTCTTGGTGCACTCTCATGGAGTTTCATGGCAACCTTTGTTGACAGCAAATGTAGTTCTACTTTAAGCATACTCTCATCTCTTTTTGTTGCCTTCTCATATGTTATTAGTATTCCTACTTGACAGTATACCTAAAACAACTATCAAATAGATACATGACAGTTTTAATGGTATGGACCATTATTTTACATGTGAGTTTCTTTCATTAAATCTTAAATTTTTTTATTATTTAAAAGACACATGTACAAATTGTCTTGTTTGAACAGGAAGACTTTGAGAGTAGATATTCTCAAGTATTGTCTGAGTCAACTTCTAATGTGGGTGCTTCACAATGCACTCCCCTAGACCCTGTTGAAGAGGAAAGGCTAAGGAATAGATGTTGGGTAGAGGCTGTAGGAGGAAGGTATAAGGGACGTGTGTATGGAGTTGGTCATGTTGACTCTAGTGATGATTGTGTTGAAAGTTATCTACCACAGACAGAAGCGTGCTCCAGTCAGAAAGCTGATTCACAAAAAATTAATCAACTGACACAACTACTGGAAAGTAGTGAGCAGCAATTGGAAAGTAGTGAGGAAAAGATTCGTATGATAAACTCCTAATTCGAGTCCATCTAGGCATTCATTAGCGCGGTCCTTCAATACTTACCACCTCCAGCAGCAGCACAAAACATTTTGCAACAACCAATTAATCAAGACAATGGAGATCAAGAGAAGGCTAAAGAACCAAATACCGAACAACAAAATCAAGATCAATATAAGGATACAGATGATGATTACATGGATTATTAGCATTTTAGGAAATTGTATTGGATGAATATTTGACATTTTTATTTGGATATGTTTCATTATATTTGGATATATTTGACATTTTTATTTTGTATTGGAACAATAAATTGTTATGTTATTTTATATATATGATTTTATTTTTTCTGGTTATGAACTTGTGTATCTAGATAATTTTATATATCATTTAATGTTCGAGTCAATGCAATCAGAATAATGCAAAAAGAATGGACAGTAATAGATATTTAAATTACTTACGGATATATCCGTAGGTAATTACCTACAAATATTGAAAATCCGTAGGTAATTATTACCTACGAGGGATTTACCTACGGATTTATGTCCGTAGGTAATTTAAATTTACCTACGGATTTTCTTGCTTACCTATGGATTCATGTTGTAGGTAATCACAGTTTTCTTGTAGTAGTGGATGAGACTTCGATGATCACTTTTATGTGAGAGCAGATCAGGAGTTGAGAGGTGGACATGCGACTAATGAGCAGTAGGAATAGTTCAGTGGGATGATCTTTGTAGGAGCTACTTTTGTATGTAGTTATATAAATAAGTTATGATACTATATTTTGAGGTTTCGTCGATGAACTAGAATTTTAATCTATATTACAATTACAGTAATATAATATAATATAGATATTGTTATTTACTATTTTATGAAGGCATAATTATAATAACGATTTTTAGGGTCGTTACAATGAACATAAATCAAGTATCCATATCTCTAATGAATATAGTTTATCAATGTTCTTATTAATACAATTAATATATTATTAGAATATTTTATTATTTATCATTAATATAATTTTGATAAAAAGGAATAAACAATTCTAAATATAATTAATTGTTTAATTCATATATTTTAATTAATTATTATCTTTTAAGAATGATAAATTTATATATATATATATATATATATATATATATATATATATATAAAGATTTGTTTTTGAAGAATTCACCTAGTGAAAGAATTTTGTTCAATGAATAACAGTCAGAAAGTTGATTCCAAATATTGTCAATTTGTTCAGCAAGGAAACAATCTACTAACCAAAAAGGTAATTGAAATTTTGTTAAACAAATAAAGAAATAGTTGAGAAAAATGTTAAAAAACTTTAGGCTTTGTAAAGCTAAAATATAAAAGTTATCAAGTTATGTTTTTCTTTTAGATTTTTTTATATTTAGATTCAAGTTTTCTCTCTTTGTTGCACTTGTTCGTAAAATAGTTTTTCAACTATGACTCTTAATTGTTTCTTTAAGGATTATGAATTGAAGAAACTTTAGATCTTATTTGTTTTACTTTCTTATCTCTTTCGTTCAATTTTTGTATTGTTTTTTCTTTTACTATTTTATACATTCATTTTTCTAGTTTTACATTTTTTATTATTAGTAAAGTACAATTTTAATCTTCTTTAACGTTAACGTTAATTTACTAATTAAAACTTGTTTTTATGATTTTAGATTTAATTCCCAATTATTTTAAATATTTATAATATATTACAATTAATGTAAATAAGATTATTTAATTAAATGTTTCAATTTTCATCACAGTTTATTTTATAAGATAAAATGATTGTTTAATTTAAAAATTAAATTATATTTAAATTTAATTGTAAATATTAAAAATTTTATAGGTCTAATTTATATTTATATGTAGACATAGAAATCAATAACAATCATATGAAGAATAATTAAAAACTTAATCATAGAAGTTGATAATTAAAAACTTAATCATTGTTCTGAATACATTTCTTCATTATTTGTCTGAATTTTCTAGATTCAATTTCTGTTTTTACATGCTTTATAGATGTAAACGTTTTCTTTATTGTTTTTCATTAACTTACTTTCTGCTTTTAACCTTACAACTTTTCATTTCCATTTTTTTACACTTTACAACTTTCTTATGCTTTATTAATTTATGTTTATTGTCTTTACTTATATGCTTTATTTATTATTTTTCTTATATTATTTTACTTTTTTTATCATATTTTAAACCAAAACATCTAAAATCTTCTTTTACATTTGAGAATGGAAGTTTACAACGGAATAATTAATTCTCGAAAATACAATATAAATTAACTCTAATATTATATTATTTTTTATTATACAATATTTGACTATATCTAAACGATAAAATGCACATTCATCCATCATCACCTCCTATCCCTACTCCTAAAGAAAGAACGCAAATCCTAACGGTCAACCCTACTAAGTGGGAGAAACAGAGAATGGAATCATATCAGTTTTGTGTGATTATGTATTTTGCACGCTGGTGTTGTATTGTTAACTAATTTCCTAATTTAGGGTTAGATGCATGTTGGTTTAGTGGTTAGAGTCAACAAATTAGTAATGAAAGCTAACTAACTCTTCATCCGTTCATATAATTAAATTGAATAAACTATTAATTAGGCAAAAAAAGAAATATTATTTACAAACTTTTATTTCACAATTATCAATTTTTTATTATTTTAATTTTCACATACAAGTAATTTAGATTCTGGATAACAAAAAAAATATTAACATTTAATTATACTAAAATTTAGTTGACTTAATTATTTTAGTTTAATAATAATAATTTTTATACAAATTTTATAATAATTACTTTATGCAATTTCATTAAAATTGTTAAAAGATTATTACTATAACTTTGAATTAACTTTCGGTTTTATTATTATAAATAAAACATTTATATTGAACTAAAACTAAAGAAAATGGTAAATTATATTAGAATTAAAAAAAAATACAAAAATTTATCCATACTCATCTTATATTCACTTCCTACTTGATTATTTTAAATATTGTTAAAATTTAATCAAAATCATTACTTTTAATTTGGTTATAAAAAATATTTTAGATATACTAAGTTATTTATAAAACTAATAATAAAAATTTTGATATAATTTTAATTTACTTATCAAAATAAATAAATAAATAAAAATTAAAAATAATTTTATTTACTAAAATAACGAACTCTGGTACCTAAAATAGGTATAAGCAAAGATAACCACTCTTGAGTACAAAAAAATACTAAAAATATATTATTTTTTATTTTAATAAGAATAATATTGAATTTTAAAAATTATATATTAAATACAGAATAAAATATTATTTTAATTCATTTTAAAGAATAAAATAAATAATTTTTAAGATATTTAATTAAAGTAATTATTTTAAAATAATGATGTAGAATACTAAAACATTTTTTTCATATAATATACTCTTGGATCTGAATTTGATTTTGTCTATCACATTTCTTCATTTAAATATTTTTTTCTTGTATTTTCTTCAAATAAATATTTGTGCCGAAATGTTTTTTTATATATTTTTTTCCCACCATAACCTTGATTGTAACAATTAACCTTTCATCTAATTATAGTGCTCCAACTTTTAAACACATTAGAATGAAAAAATAATGCTCTCCACCATTGTTTTACATCTGTTTTTTTATTTACATTGTTAATAAAAGTCTCATGACGCTTACATCTATTCTTCTCATACGATTTATATCAAAGTCTTCTTATAATTTATAATATTAGTCAATAAGAGATAATAAAGAGAGTCTCAGTTTTGATTTATTTTATTTTTTTCTTATTTTCACTTTTTGTTTTTTATTTTAATTTTTCACATTTTTTTTCACTCTTGTAAAGCTCTCCCTTTTTCAAGTTATTTTTTTCAATTTTTTTAATATGATAAGATGCTCTCTATTTTTCACACTCTATTCTTCATAATTCACAATCAAAGATACCAAAGCCTAATCCATCTGCCACTGGTGGTGGCTCTAATGCTGGCAATGGTGCCTCCTCTCTCAACCAACAACCATAAAAAGTGGTCAAGAATGTTGTTGGCAACCGAATATATACACGACTTAGAATTATGGTACTTTTGTTGTGGAGATAAAAAAAAGTGCAATTTCTGTCAAAAAGGTATTAGAAAGAAGTCATTATCGATTAAGAGCATAAATAATATACTACTTGTAGTGTTTGTTTACAAGTATAGTTTTTTTCATTGATACAACACAACATAGTCTTGTAATCAAACACTACAAATTTTTTGTTGAATCTTTCCATTTAGGCTAGACCACTATAAATTGATGACCTTACATTTTGTGTCATTGAACGAGAATTTGATTTCGAAAAGAGTGTGGTAGTTAGCGAGCTTCTTCTTTTCTAATCCTTTCCAAATCTTAATTCCTACTATTCAACTCTTGGTTCTTTGTTACACTTATATTGAACTAACCACGAACCTATGGTTAGCGAAATGATTTTCATACTCATCAATGTTCAACAGATTTTATCCATGAAAAATCACTTAATTATGGTTTTTTTTTTTGTTGAATATTTATATTTTTATAATTTCTATCTTTCGAAATTTCAACCCTGTGATTTACATTTTTGTGTTCTTGAGTTATTCGAAAGAGGGTTTCATACTTATTTTCAAGATTAAAAAAATTGCAACATATATTCAATCAATACTTGAAACAGACAGACTGATTAGTTTTATTTCTTTAGAAGTCACCAGAAAAGATAAGGATAAAGCCCAAAAATACAAGGGCAAAACCATAAATGTTGGGTCACAATCCTAATCGAAAGGTGTATGTTTTTTCTAAATTTAATCTTTTATTTGCCCATATTTATTTCAATCATTTGGGAGAATAATATATTTTTTCAAAAGTATCAAGTGAAGTATTAAATATAATATATAAAAATCATTCATTATTATTATTATAAAACTGTTTAATAATTTAAAAAATATATTAAAATTTATACTAAAAAATTGTCATGTCGTTGTTATATTCATAATGTTAATTGTAATATAAAATTGTAAATTAAAATTGTTATTATGTTTTTAATAAATATAAATATTAATAAAATATGTACTTGCTAGTATCATATATATTTACTAGTGAAGGATATATTCACCTCTTCTAATAATATGGAAATGTCTTGTATATTTTACTGTTTGTAAATCTGTTTAACATATACTTTGTATTTTATTTTGTATGTCAATCTCTTTATTTTTATTTTTTTTAATATTTTACCTTAACTAGACTTATTTCATATTTTTGTCTACTGAAATATAATCCATATTAAAATTATATTTTTTTTATTATGAAATTTATTAAAATATCAGAAATTTTACATTTACTTATTAAAATACAAATTAAAAAGAAAAATATCCCAAATTTAAAATACCAACAAATGCGTTTAAAAACTCATTTCCAAGTAAGTATCAATCTCAGAAAGAGATGTCTTCAGAAGATTTGAGGGGAAACATCCATCACTAACATCTCAGGAATTGAACACCATAAAAACAAATATGTACAAATAAATGCTTTAGATGATGGTTCAAATATTAAAAATAACTCCCAAAATTCATTGCTACAACACTAGTCCTCTGCTGCTTCAAAGAAAAAAGAAAACAACTGGTTAACTGCAATAGAGGTTAAGATCAGGTACTTGAAAATGTGATCCCTTATTCTGCATCATACTTGTGTCAAAACGAGTCCTCTTTAGGCACCGAGACTCATCAATCATATAGGGTACCCCACAGTACATTGAAGGACACTAGAACCCTCTGGCCATTTCCATCAACATCCCCTGCAACTCTGCCAAATCGTAATGCTTTTTCTGCAACACATAATATGGTTGAGACATGGTCAATAGTTATTCTTCACACCACTATTCCATCAAAGCATACTGTGTCCTAAATGGTACTATTCATCATATATTTCTACAAACCTAAACTATCTATAAGATCTTTATATACTACAAGATTCGCAACTGAAGATTTTGTCAAGCAGCATTACCTCTCTCCTTGCTTGAGCCATGAGAGACAACATTTCTTCCAAAAAATCAGAAAACCCCTGAAGCAGATAACACATAAAAATATTTCAAGAACACAACACAACATGAAAAAGAACCAAATTTGAATGCACATAAAAGACAAGTCTGAAGCACGCACCTCATCCTCTTCCTCTTGAGGATCATACAAACCCGCATCATACATAGTTCTTTTCTTGCGGTCTGACAAGACTGCTCCAATAAAACCAAAGAATTAAGCATCAAAAACTCTATAAGACTTGAGAAAAGGCTCAATTTTGTTCTCTCGAGAAGCAAAAACTGGAAGCAAACCTACCCGAATAAGCTTCTTGAATTTGCTGGAATTTGCGTTTGGCTTCACCCAACAACGAAGGCGTCTTTGTCCACCTATCAGGATGCCACTGCATTGCAAGCTTTCTGTAAGCACGTTTTATCTCTTCCAGGTCACAATCCGAGCTAACACCAAGAACGTTATAGTAAGATGATCTTTCTCTTCGAGCCTCCATTGTTGCAATCAACAAACTTACAGAGTCATGAAAAAAAGTGCTGTTTGCGTTATCCTTCCGGTCATATGATTGCACCCAGTTGAGAACAAGGAGGGTTTTACAAGGAATGGTAAGAAGGTGTAGCGGGTATTTATTATTACCGGGATGAAAGGGTGGTTTTGGAATTGAAAGGTCTAGAAGAAATGTGTGAGAAAAAGGAAGAGGGTGATTCCAAAGCCTGGAATGTTCTTGAGTAAAGTGTAGCGGTAGATATTTTGGCGAGGGACGTAGATATTTTATAGAATGTATACGTGTGGTGTGGTTGTGAAGGTATGGGAGAGATATTTTGGGGGGTGAGAAGTTTATCAAACGTCATCGCTCCTTGTGTTGTCATATCTTTGTGTATGGCAACTATTTTTTTACACAGAAAAAATAAATACACAATTATGGAATTTATATTCTATAAGTGATTTTTAAATTTTTTTTACTATTCTATCTTTTATATTATAATAATAAATTTAATAATATAGAGAAGAATATTAAAGATTACAGAAAATAATTATTATTATCATCATATATCTTAATTGTTGTAGTGTATAGTATTATGTTTTAAAGAACAGTGAAAAGAGTAGAAGGAAGAAAAAGTGGTTATTGTAGATAAAAAAATAATATGATAATTGTTTTATTATAAAAATATGAACTTTATTTCCTCAGGTATAGAATTAATTTACATAAAAATCGTGCATAATTTACTAAAATGAAAGGTATGAAAACAAGCATGCACGTAGAATTTGGATGCTTATAAGAATATTTTTATAGCTTAATGAATGTTGGTTCTTGATTCGCGTTATTTCAAAACTAGGGAATCTTAATGAGTAGACAGAAATAAATTTTGTTAAACAATGTTGTTTAACCTTGTAAATAACTACATTAAATATATCACATATAAGGGTATTATATTTTGTTGTGTACATCTGAAGTTAGTAATAAAACAAGATTATTAGGGAGAACAATTTGTATGGAAATTAACACTGTAGTCCGAAAAGAGGTAAAAATATTGAAAAAAAAATCCTAAAAATTGAGTGATCCACGAAAGAATTTCTTTTTGAGAATATTGAACTATTTTGGAGTAAATAAAACAATGTGATAACGAAATCATGGGTTCATTTAAGTTTGGCATGTGGCATCTTTTGAAACTTTTGGATGAAAAAGAAAAATATGCAAGTGGGATGGCCAAAGAAGAGGAAAAAGGACACAGTAGTGTTTTCAATAAATATGAGTCTAAGTAGTGCGTAAGGGTGTGAATAGTAATCCTCAGGTTGAACTTAGCATAATGTGGAACGCGATTAGCAAGGCCCATTGAAAACTGGACTCATTCTTCGGCCACCTCTGTAATTTTATCATGTATCTCCAAACCTATTCTACAAGACGATATTACTCTGATAATATGTTTCGGTATTTTGGAGGTTCCGAATTAATAAATTCGGAAAAAGTTAATATTAATGAATCTGATATCACATTCTTTTTAATTTTGAATTGTTGATCCTAAATATTTTTCAGGTTAATAAATCTGAAAGGTTTTTTTTTATTTCGAATTAAGCAATCCAGATATATAAATACATTATTATTATTATTAGTATTATTATTATTATTATTATTATTATTATTATAAAGGTTTTGAATTTGTTGATATCGAAAATTTTGCAGGCTAATAAATCTGAAAACTTTTAAAAAGCCTTGAATGCTGAAAACTTTCCGATTTATTAAATCCGGAAAGTTGAATAAATAAATCATGGTTCTTCCGGACTACATAATCCGGTACAAATTGGGATGGCACAACACAATAGTGCAGTTGCAACTTGCAATTGGTTTAATTGAAATTCTGTCATTTACAATTCAATAATTATAAAACATATAATAAATAATAATAATAATAATAATAACAATATAAATAAAAATAAATAATCAAACAAAAGATAATATTATCTTTATCATTTTATTATTATGATTATTATAAATTTATTATTATTATTATTATTATTATTATTATTATTTAAATTGAAATATTCAATCCATTAAAATTAACGTGCACATTCTATATTCATTAATTAATTAACAGAGATTTATTTTCAGAAGTTATAAACCTCACAAAATTATATAATTATAGTAAAAAAATTTAACCGTTATAATTTTGAATTTAAAAGTTAGTATAATATTTAATTAATTATAATTAATTTAGTTTCTTTTTTAATTTAAGAATTAGTAATAGTTCGTTAAATTTAATTTAAACTACATTGATTATATTTTAAAATTATTTAAACTTATAAATCTAAAAATCATTTAAACCTTCTTATATAGTTAATTCATATTTATACTCAATTTAATTTTTATTATATTATTTATGTTATTGCTTGTGACACCAACTAATAGGGTGTTAAAATAAGTTTAACCTGATTAATCAGTCCTAAAAATAGGTCGATTAAACAAAAAAAATTATGATTAAAATATAACTAGATAAATTTTGATCGATCTATTTAGGTTAAGTCCAAATAGGTTTAGGTCGACTAGCCCGTAGACTTATGGGTTGGTCTCGTTTTATAAAATAATAATTATTTTATTTTATTACAAAATATATGTATAATAAATTAATTTGATAATATATTTTGTTATATATATAATTTAGAAAAAATAATAAACTCTAAACATAATCTTTATTTGTTTTGGTCATCTTCTCCTATATGTTGTCGCTGACATTTGCTTTTAAGGACCAATTATACAAGACAACATATTCTTAAACTTAGTAGTGTAAGTTTAAAGTCTCATAATGTAGGAGTTATGTTGGATAATAAGGCTAACTTGTTGAACTAATGAAAAATTGACTCTAAAATTTAACAAGATGTATTATTGATCATGATATTTAATTTAGCTATGTTGAATACGAGAGAGTTTGGGAGATAAATAAAGTTTTGAATCCCGATTTTAAACAAAATACTAGAAATACTTCAATTACGGATGTTTATAATATGTATTTAACAAAAAGAAAATGTTAAAAGATGTGTTATTTAATATTTATGGTATGATATTTTAAACCAATTATGGGAAATATTTCAATTATAGAGTTTTATAATGTATATTCAACTAAAAAGAAAAAGCTAAAAGATGTGTTATCTATTATGCATGTAACTATAACTCTTACAGGTTACATGAATGTAATCGCTCATTTTTATGATTTTATACATTTTATTTTATTTTATCTCGAATAGGTTATCAATTAATTTTAAATAAACAAATGAATGAGATATTTTTTTTCAAACAAAATTAAAAAATCATATAAAAAAATATTTTTAATTAGGTCAAAAATGGTCTCTTAGACCATTGATCTAACATAGGGTAGGCTAGTAAAATTTTTTGACCCGTTTTAAAATATAGATTAGATTGAGTCATTAGACATTTTTTTTACTTAACCAGTAGGACCAGACTAAACTGGACTGCCCGTTTTGACAATCCTATTAATGAAAGCATGGAAATCGTCCATCTCAATTTATTAATTGAAGGTATTTCTCTTATTCTTTTATCCTCTACAACATTCACTCTCCTTTGTTTTCACTTTCATTATTTTCATTTATGTTTCCACTTCACCCTTTCATCTTTGTTTTTGTTTCATCTTTCGATCACGATCTTTCTTCTCACTTTAAATAGACTCTTCAACCTAGTTTTTTTTAATAGAGGCACAAAAACATTTTATATTTTAGTTGAGTTTTTATTGTTTGAGGTTTAGGTTTTCTAAAGATCATTTTACTTGGTTTTGGTTTTTGTTATTGGATGGACATAATGGTGTGTGTTAAACAGGTAGGATAGATTGTGCATATTTTATAGGTTTTGATATGTTACTTCCATTGTTGAGCTTGCGTGTGATGCAATTTATGTTTGGTCAGAGGTTTAACTACCAATGCAACATGGAGATGGAGTTTTTGTCAAGTATATTAATTATGTTTTGGTATTTTTTTGTGGTTATGGTTAATTTTGTTCATTTTCTGTTTTAGTGAGGGGTCAAAATCATGGGATTAGAAAATATATAAACAAGAGAAAGTTCTTAGAGATATTTTGTAAGGAAAGTTATCATCTGCAATCTATAATAATTGAAAATCAAGCAAATACAAGACGGGGGAGGAATGACCCCACCCCTTCACATACACACAAAGTGGTAACAAATGTAAGGTGCTAGGATAATATAAAGCTACTTTATCATTTTTTTTGTCCCGCTAAAGCAGCTAGGCATGGTCAGTCTCATCCACCTTTGTAAAAGAGAGTTTTACCTCCTTTAAGGTATTTTTATTTTACTTATGATAGTTCTTGGGTATATTGCATTGGTGATTTGAAGTTGTTATTTCAATGTATGTTTTTTTAAGAGATAAGATGAAAATTATTATTGGGAAAACAAAAGTTTGTTGTCACTAGTCTTTACAGTATAATGTTCCTTTTATCTATATCATATCCTTCAAAAAATCGTAATAATTATTATTTATTTAAACTATGATGTTTCACTTTATGATTTTAAATTATATTCAACATGCTTTGGAGATGATCCTTCTAAGATTAATTTATTAATATATTTCCTCATTTATATTACTTGTACTCCTGACTTACATATTTATCTCTTACTTATGTTTGAACCTAGGAAAGAAAAATAATTTATTCTTCTTGTAGAAAAGATCACCAACAATGTCAATGAAGGTCATTTTGAAAGATATTTTTGACATATTTAATTATTTTAACCTTCTAATTTTATCCTACATTTATATTTTGAATGGAATAAATATTATAGTCTTTGCAAATACTTAGGAAAAGAGCTATTAATTGACTATTTATATTCACTTATTTCTATCTTCTAGTTTTATCCTACATTCCCACTGAGAATGCATTAATGTGTTATAAATTACTCGTAATTGTCAAATACTTGAGAAGAGAGTGATTAATTGACAATACATATTTACTTTTTTCTACCTTCTAGTTTTACCTTG